CTGGGCCCCCAGCAGGGACATCTGAAAGGTCACACAGGAGAGTTCCTTAACAGGAGGATGGATCTGTTTAGTGTAAATTCTCCATTTAATGGTGAACTCAATTCATCAGACCTAGTTTGGGTCTCTGAGACACTGCTTTCAGATATCTAATGCACAATGTGCTGCCTGTTTAACTAAGAAATACCTTTAAGTCCATAAAAATCCAGGTCTCAAATGCCACAGAAAATTCTTCTGGAGTCAGTTTTGGAGATCTATGCTGCATCACAGCAGTGGGGGACTCTAAATGATGCCACAAACTCAAAGGTATCCATCCTGCCTGCAGTATCTCCTTGGAGCCTGCTGGGCTGCCTTTAATTATTGCTCAGTTCTGACTTGCACACACACATGAACAGGTAAAGGTGTCACACTGTACCTGCTGAGAAAGGTCACGTTTGCTCAGCAAGCAAAGGAGGTAATTACATGCAGCCATAGAAGGCAGCAAGCACTAAATGTGGGTTTGCCTACAGCCAGAATGGTTTGAATTTTTTACTTGGAGATGCTCAGTTTGATTTCTTTTATGCTACAGCCAGCACAGAAGAGCCTGGATCAGGTAAGTTTCAGACCCTGCTGATAGTACTCATCTCTTCCTGCATATCTTTACACAGTACATTTTATTCCAGGCTTAGTATTTACCAAAGGGTTTAAGTGGGGCAAGAATTCCTCTCCTAGTTGAATCAGACTGTAATTAGCTGCATTTCCAGTGGCTGTTCCCAGTATGTAGTTTATGTGCAACCACACCTTTGCAGGTGTTTGCTGGTGCAGAGGCAGGCTGGTCCATGTTATTTTTGCTACTAAATGCTGCTTTACAGTTCAGTAGCCCATCAGGGGTGACTGTGGTTTATAAATATTTTTAAACCACCAGTAGTTGACCTGTAAAAAAAAATTAAAAATAGAGCTGTTCATTCCACCCCCATTGTTATCTTTTCATTGATTCCTGTTTTCTTTCAGCTCAGAGAGCCTGTGTGCTCATCCCTTGATGTGCACAGATGGTTCCAGAGGGTGGCATTGCAGCAGTGGTTTCCCATTTACACACTGTGGAAGCTCCAGGGTGTGCTGGACACTGCTTCTGTGCTGCAGAGAACTCCCTGCTTCTGAGAACACAAATGGATTTACCAGGGCAAGAGAATCCCTTTTCCACAGCCAGTATTTATTTTATGCTTTTTTTTTTCCCTAATCTGATAACTTCTTAACCATTTGGGGGGGAGCAGCAGTGCAGAGGCACAAGGGAGTTGCAGTGTGAGTTGGAGAATGGGTCCAGGGGGAGGGTGATTCTAAATCGACCATCTGGGATTGACGGGATTGTGGCTGCAGGGAGCCTGCCTTGGGAAAAACGTCCTTGCTGAGAAGAGTCTGGGAGTGGGGCAGGGCACAGAAGACACCAGCTCAGCTGCTGAGCCCCAGAGCCCCTTCTACCACCTCTCACCCACAGGCACCTGCAGCAGGAGCAGGGCTTCTCCAGCTGCTCTCCACTGAGGCTGCACCTCCCTTTGCTCCCACTGTTGTGGCTGCATTGAGCATTTGGGAGAGGCAGGAAAAGAAGAGTGGCTGGCCTGGCCACTAACACTTAGAAGTGGTCACAGTAATCAGATACGAAGGTAATTGGAAGAGGGCTGAAGCTCATTATAGGATTGGGAAGAAGCTTTTGTCAAGTAGTGCACTGGAACTAGGGGAGGAAATTCCACTGTCCCCCCTGTGCTGAGTCAAGTGTGGCCCCAACCAGGTACTGCAAGTCCCATAAGTGCTCCCATGTGCTTGTAGCATTCAGAGATGCTGCAGTGATTGACTCTAATAATGTGTAATGTGTTTCCTTAGGGTTAAAACCCCTAAAGGTAAACAAATGCCTCTCATTTTGGAGGCAAGGGATATAAATAAACACTGAAGGTCAAGGTGTACCCAAGGATTCTTGAAGGGAAGAGACACCTTTGACATGATGATAACTTTACCTGCTTCACAGCAGATGCTTCAATGCCATGAATCCTGCTGTGACAGCCTGAGGAAAGCAGAGAACAGCAGTTCTTGAAGACTGTGCTGCCAAGCATCATTAGCAACAATGGCTGGATCTAAGACAGCTCCATCAATGGGGAAAACAATTCTGAGAAAATTATTCCTTTAAAGCCCCTCTTCCAGCAGCCTCACAGCACAACGTGTGCTCTTCTGCTTAGCTAAGACAGCTAATTACCCAGAGCTGCAGACAGAAGCACAGACGTTTCTCTATAGCACAAGCAGCTTACAGTATAATTTTCTAGAAGTGTCTTAGGGCAGATTACTTTCATGCCTGTTGCAGGCAGCGGTGCCAGGACATCTTGGGAGAGAAAGGAACCAGCTCCTACATTTCACAACTAGACAGGACCATTATCAGGACAATGCTCTGCTATTTTCTGGGCCAGGACTTAGCAAACGTCTTGGCAGAGCAACTTGTCCTTAGCCAGGAAAACTCTCTTCCAGAGGTTCTGCCTTACAGGAGTGACAGGGTTTATTTGAGAACATAACCCTGTGGATTTGAGAACATTCCCCCCTGGAAGCTGAACATTTCCCTGTCACAGCAGATCGAGGTGACACAGCGTGGATTGCCACGAGAGGGGAGTCTGCAGCTCAGGTACTGGAGCTAACCACGGGCTGGGCAGGGCACTGGGGCAGCCAGCAGCAGACAGTGCTTCTGTGCTGCTTCATCCATGACTTCAAATCCATTATGCAATCAAACAGTTTGATTTTTGAAAGTGGTAATTCTAGCATCAGATCTGCTTAATTTTCCAGTGTTTTGTGGACAACCACCACCAGGTGTTGATTTGATCAGTTAAAAGAGTTTCTAAATGGTTTTTAATTTGTGCAGTGAGCTTCACAAACTGAACAGTCAGCAAACTACATGCCTGTGCTCAGTTGGTACAATGTTCTTGTTCCCCGAAATCTCAATTTGCTTCTCTTCTGTGCAGTTTGAAAGTAAAACAAAAATTTAGTATTTAAAAAATAAATCCCTCCCCCCTTCCTTCAGTTCAGCTAAGTAACAAAGCAATTCAGGCACAAAAGTACTGTGACACTCCTTTAACCACATTTGATTTCCAGTGAACACTCCTTTCCTTTGCATTTTAAGATATTAAAAATTATACTAGTGTCTTTACAACTTTTCTTCTCTCTGATATTAAACAGCATGTTAAAACTGTAAAAAGAAGCTCTGTATTAGCTGGACTACATATTTACTTTGTTGTCTTTATATCCAAGACAAGAACAATTATGTAGCAGCACATAAACACTATTATTTGTGAAACAACCTCCCAACAATTCAAGCCATAACCCAAAATACATTTATGGTGTTGTGTCATCAGGCCAGACTTGGGTTAAAACAACCCAACGAAAAACACATTTCAGTGGCTGAGTTACAGCTCTAAATAAGCCCACTTCCTTTCTTTTATTTTCTATTTTCATTTTTCCACTAGGCAAGTTCTCAGGCACCAGCTTTTATACTAAAAAAGGCTTTTTTTTCCCCCCCCTTAAACCACTTTCAACAGTTCAGTTTGCCATAGAGACCATATCAAAAGTTGCTAACATTAGCACCAAAAAACCCAGATCTGGTACACAATGAAGGACTCTACAAGAAGGTCTCAAAGACAAGAGTTCTTTGCAACTCTCTGTTTATTAAAAATATATGTCTCCTTGGAAGAAACACTGTTAACCAACTACTGTTGTCATGATCGATTCGATACTGTCAGCTATGCCATGGAGTACATCATCTTTTTCTCCACGTGACTTGATAGAGGGAGACAGGCTATTAGGAAAAAACAGAAAAAAGAAAAAAAAAGACAAAAAAAGATAGGAATGTGTGACTAGCACCTTAAGGACTTTTGTTTCCCTTACTCCACTTCTTCAGGGACCGACATTTATAGCAGCTGGAGCAGGACCAGCGGGGTCCTTTAGGGTCGGTCCCACCGACAGCAGAATCCTTCTGTCCTCCTCTGTGCTCACAGCTGCCTCTCTGTGTCCTGACCCCAGAAGCTGCTTGGTCCCTGCAGGGCTCCTTGGCATTCAGGATGGGCAAAGGAAGCCTCTCCTCAGGCAGCACATGGAGTCTTACAGCAGCTCTGGCTGACGCTGGCAGCCGTGGCCTGTGTGCCAGGCACTGACACATAGAACCATCACCTTGGGGAGAGGGGACCACAGCTTGTCCCTGCCAAACAGGGGGAGGAGGAGACTTACCTGGTCGTGCTTGAACAGTGACCTGTGCTGTGGGGTGTGGCACTGTGTGAGGAACAGCGTTCACCAGCTCTTTGTAAGGTGGGAACACTCGGACCTGAACTGAGTACCCAGCACACACCCCTCAAAGGCCACACGAGGCCTTGTTCCCACACTGGAGCCCCACTCGAGCACAGGAGCCAAGGTGTTCTCAAAGACAGCCATGTCCTAGCTTAGGGCCAAGGGTCTCGGTGCCAGCAGCTGCCTCTCTTGAAAAATGCCAGTGCCCAGCGGATGGGGCGGCTCTGCACCCCCTGTGCACCACATCAGGGGTGCCTGGGGGGAGGCAGCAGAACCCAGCTTCAGTCACAGAATTCACACAGAGGTGACAGAGCCAGGCAAGGCGGCCACGCAGTCACCTTTGCGGAAGGATGGCCCTTCCCCTGGGAGAGCCACCCCGGCACCTGGACACAGCAGGGCTGGGAACTTGGCATGGAGCAGGGAGGAGAGGAAGTTTTTCAATTCTGTTACTGATCTGGAAAATGTGAGTGTCCATCCAAGGCACAGCTGGGGGCTTTTCCTGCCAGTGGCTAATGCAGAAGGGAATGCCAGTGTGCTGCCACAAGCCAGAATGGGTCATTCCACCTGCACCCACAGGCACAGGGCCAGTCCAACATCCCAGGTTTTTCACAGCAACACAGGACAGTGAGTACATTTGTTCCATGTGGCCAGTAAAATATTTCTTAACTAAACACCACAGATCTAGATTCTATTTACAATAGAGCCAGCTTAAAAAATAAGTTAAAAAACTGGATTTTATACCCATTCAGTTCATCATTAACAAGAGAAAATTGAATAATAATAATTATAATAATAATAATAATAATAATAATAATTAAAAAAGCCAACACAACAACACAATATGGTTTTGGTTTAAAATCAGCTTAAAAAAATAGAACCAAAAGGAAACCTCTCATGCAAACACATAAGATGGTGTGTAAAACAATGTGCAATTTAATATGTAGTATCATCCATTCTCTTGCTCCGCAGCCTCCTGCTCAGTCTCTGTCTCCCAGCCTCTCTCAGGCCAGCTGCTGCTCCTTGCTCTGGTCCCTCCTGCACAGGCAGTACCAGTCTCTGCCCTGTCTCAGACCCAGGGTGGCTGCAGGGAACTGGCCTGGACAGGAGGTTTCCAAAGCACCTGGTACCGTTTTGAGCTCTTCCTGCCCAAGTGGACTTCCTACGGTGAGTGGTTGGGGCAGAGGAACTGAAAGAACCTTGCAATAATACAATACCTTTTCAGAGAGGTCCCTCAGAATTCCTAGTCCACATACATATATATATATATATATATAATATATATATAATATCTCTCCTCTATATTATATATAAATTACATATACAGATAAATAAAATGCTTTCTGCTGCTCATCTGTCGCACTGTTCAGAGCTGCTAGACGGTCACACTTGGAAAAATGCCCCTGGAGCTCTGATACCAGCTCATGTGTTTGGAGTCCATTTTTCACTTGTTTTCTTACATTAGTCCTTAGCCGCCTCCTCCCATCTTGATTCTTTGTTTAGTTAATAATAATAATAATAATAATAATATAATAATAAGAATAATAATAAAAAAACGACCTTGAATGGGTTCTCATCTGTCTCTAATGGAGCAGTGGGAAGGTCCATGCAGGAATGGTGGGAACAGTCACGTGATGAATGATATGAGTTCATCCCAACAAAAGAAACAGGACTAGAAAACTCAATTTTGCGACGATCTAAAAAAGGGAGCAGGAATAGTTTTCATATCCCTCCCCCTCTGGGGCAGAGGGCTTGGATGAGTGGGACTTCAGAGATCTGCTCACAGCGAAGCAGGTGGGAGACAGCTTCAGAGTTTCTCTGGGGATGGGACCCAGATGTAGTGCCCGGACTGGTCCTCAATGATCTGTTTGATTTTGCTGTAGATTTCTTCAAGAGAGTCTCCTTGTACAATGGCTAGAAGAGGAGAGAACAAGCAAGACCTTGAGCACCAGGCAGCACTGCCATGAGTTATGGGAGAGCCTTCCCGCTGCCCCAAAGGGCTGGAGGGCGTAGCCAGCAGGGGCAGGACCAGGTGGTGTCACAGCAGCTACCCAGTGACACAGAGGGTTAAAGCAGCACCTCGGTGGGGATTAGCCAGCGCTGATCCCAGCTGGCAGAGCTCCTGACTGTGTGCAGGGCTGGCTGGGCTCTCCACACCAGGCTGCTAATCAGCTTTGCAAACTGTGTCAGGCACTGTGCTGAGGCTGCAGCCAGGCCTGGCACCGCCACGGCTGCGCTGACCAGAGTGAGGGAAGGCAGGGCTGGGGCAGCACCAGGCACCTGCCCCGAGGTGCCAGCTTTGTCCCTTCCCTCTGGTTCTCCTGGCCAGCTGCTGAGGGCTCCTCATGTTTGCTGCTTCCTCTGCTGGGGGGTGGGAACACAGAGCTCTCAGGCTGGGACAGGCCAGCGTGGCTCCCTCCCAGCAGCAACCCCTGCCCAGTGCTGCTGCTCAGCACAGACACAGCACGAGGCACTGAGCTGCTTACATCATAGGAAGATGCACGTGAAGGGCCAAAGCTTTCTGGTAATCCAGCCTGCCTCTGTAACCCAGCCAAGACTATCCTCCAGCATCTCCACTCCCCCTAAGTTGCTGGCACAGGACCTGTAACAGTGACCATCTATCTCTCTGCCCATTACCCGGTTCTTTCAACACATTTCAGCCAACAGCATTCCTTTTTTTACAGGTCAACATCAACTTGCCCTCCAAGTGCACAGTGGTATGTTGAGGGCCTGCAAAACTGTGACATGAAGAAGAAAAAACTGTGACGTAACTGGAAGAATAGCTAGCAGCTCTGGAGCCCAGGACAGGAGGTCTGGGGAAAGCTCACTGTGTTTGTACCCAAATATTTGTCCAGCTGAAATCAGTTTTTGTAAAACATCCTGCTTGGGGTTTTTCCCAGTAGCTGTTAGGTGGGTAATACACAGTTTGGCAACATTATCATTCCTCAGCTTAAGAAGAAGCAGCTATTGTACTGCAGAAAAGATGGAAGACCAGTTTCTCTGCCTCCTCACCTGGCTGTGGTTGTCCAGAATTATTCATGTTACAAACATTAGTTCCTTAATGCACAAGAATGCCTGTGTCATGAGCAGCTCATCTCAGCAGGCACAAAGTGTCAGCAACCCCTGGCTCTTGAGCAAAGACTACTTAGGAAGCAAGCCAAACTTCCAGTCCTTTTTGGTAGATATTTTGTAATAACTCGGGGCTGTCTCCACCATTTAGGCCATTATTTTTTTATCTTTCCCCTTCTTTTCAAAACTTCTCTTTTTAAAAATGCTCCACTTTTCTCCCATGCAGGGAGTTTACTTCCTGTAGACTTGTAGCACCCTGAAACCCTGTACTTAACCTGCTCGGGGATTTTTAGATTTTTTTATTACTGTTGAAGTTGGTGATAAGCTTTCACAAACTCAGAAAATCCTGCCTGACAACTTGTCTCCTCCTCTATGACTGGTTTACTCCTATCCACTGATCTTGGAGCAGTCCCCTTGCAGAGCCCTCCTGGCAAAGTGCCATTTCTTTTTTGCTTTGATGAAGCTGGATGTTTTCCCATGACCCTGTAGTAGGACAGTGCTGCTAGAGAGGTCACAGCTGTTGGATGAAAAAATGAAGTAAATCAGATACAAGCCTGCTCAGGACACTCACCTGTAAAATATTCTCCGAACTCTTGCTCAAGTTTCATGGCTTTGTCAAAGACCTTGTTGGCCTGTTCATACGTCTGTCTCCGGTTCATCTCCCTGCCACACACAAAAAATAGAAACTTTTCAGCTCTTTTTCTTAGCAATGAACAGAAGCAAAAATAGCTGACAGAGCCAGGGTGCCTGGGAATCCTCTGCTGACAGGAATGGAAGCTGTGCAGGACCCAGCTCCCAAAGGCACAAAGAAGTTCCCCACAGACTCCAGGCTGCCTTGGCACTTCATCTCAACTCCCACCAGCTCTTCCCACTGTCACCTACCCCACCCCCCTTCACCATAGCAAGGAAGGGAATTCATATGCAGACAATCCCTTAAATTTATGAGACCACTGCAGAAGTCTCCCTGCTTGTCTAGGTTTTCTCATCTTCATAAAACATAGAAATAAGCAATTTGACCCCTTCTGACTCAAGAAGGGGTTTTCCCAGGCCTCTTGGTGCCAGCAGAATTTCTTCTGATCTCAGGGACAATCTCAAGCTGCTGAATCTGTTCACAGGTAATACTCTCTGCTGCTGCTCAGAAGAATTGCAAGCTCAGCTCTCACATCATTTCCAGCCTGCACTACCCAGGGCCAGGAGCAGCAGGACAAGCAGCTGGAGAGGCACAGAACACGGTGCTGCACTTACATGAGGGCTTCAATGGATTTTGGTTTGATGAAAATGGCAATGGGATAAAGTTGTGCTTGTCGCAACCTCTTGATAGCATTGCCAGACACATCCAGGATGCAGTGCTTCCCCTGGAAAGGAGACAATCAGGATCAGGCCTACCCACACAGACTACTCTGTGTGGGAAACAGCTTGCTCATACAGATGTGCTTGGAAAGGGAGGAGCCACAGAAATGAAACCCTACTCCTGAGACACAAGCCAGCTCCCAATGGCCTCACATTCCTGCTTGCTCAAGGCAGGACAGCAACAATGCAAAGGGGCTGAACCTTTGTCTGGACATGTGAAGCTATTTACAAGCCCTGGGTAACTCCAGGACTCCTCCAGAGGAACGCTGCTGCTTTGAGGGCACCCAGGTATCTCTGTCCTGTGAGCTCCTGAGCACAAGGCTGGCCAAACAGTGCCAGGCTTTTGGATGAAGTTTGGAGGACAGAGGTACCATGCTGGGGTAGAGTAACACAACTGAGTAAAGCAACTACATGGCTTGGAAGGACTCTGGAGGGAGGAGAGGATCTTGCCATGCTTGCTTAATGTGGTTACAGCCCTTCATTAACAACAGGGTAAAGGAGAGGAACTGCTGACTGCGCGAGGGTTCGGGCTGGATGCATCCCAGACCCAGGAATGCCACCCGACACTCACCCTCTCTGCCACCGCTCGCACTGACTGGATGCTGGTCCCATAGAGATTGTCATTGAACTGCCCAGCCTCTATGAACTTGTTGTCCTGGATGTCTTTCTCCATCTGCTCCCGGGACACGACAAAGTGATAGTCCTGTCCGTCCACCTCGTTCTCGCGCCGAGGCCTGGTGGTGTCTGGAGGAGAGTGGGCATCAAGAGAGAGTCCAGAGTGACGCATGACAAACCGGGAGGGACGAAACACACCCGTGCTCCCAGCCCCCTCCCCACTGCGGGCAAGACCCTGCAAAGAGCAGAGCCCCCACTCTCCCCTCCCTCCAGCAAGGGCACTGAGCGTTGGCTGGGACTTACGGGGCACGCAGGAACCAAACTTGTGTGGGAATTCAGAGATGAGGTCATCGTTAATTCGGTCCTTTGTTGGCCCCAGGATGATCACTGGCCTCGCGTAGTGAACTGTGAACGAGAGCCACAACCTGAGGCTCCACCTGTGGCTCCACCTGTGCTGGGGCAGCTGACCCTACTGCCACTTTTGGCATTGACCTGCCCTCTCCCTCCTGGCAGTGGGTGCTCTTGCTCACATGGGCACCCAAAGGTGCCTCCTCCGTGCGCGTTTATCTCCTCCTGGTCACGGTCAACACGTCCTTCCCATCTGACCCAAACCATCTGTGTGGCCCCGGGAAAGGTTCTGCAGGTCTCCAGGGTCGCGTATCAGCAAAGCTGCTCCCTTGCTTGGGGCAGGAGCCAAGCAACCAGGACAGCTGGGCAAGGATGCCATGGAGCTGGGGGAGTGACGGGAGCCTAAAAGTCAGATCCAGCTTCTGGCAAGGACAGACCACCGAGGCTGGGACTATTCAGCCTGCGAAAGGGTCTGCAGGGTTTAAGCATCAAGCAGGGTTAAAGGCTGCAGGCTGTGGGAGGGTTGTTCTCCAGCAGGGACCTGGTCTGAGGCAGGAAGGGATAATCTTATCCTCAGCTGAGGACTAAAGCCCAGCTCAGTTTTAGCTCTGGATCTCTCCCTTGGTCTTGCAGACCATGACACAAATCTTTTCTGTTGATTAAAAGTGGGCAGTCGAGGCCAGGGAAAGCTGTGCACACCTGGCTCCCCTGCTGCACACAACACATGAGACTGCACTTGCATCCACCCAGTGCTGTGCTGGTATGGCAGGAGGGGAGGACGCTCTGGCTGTGCTGGGGACACAGGTGGCCACACTGCAGTGGGCACAGGGCAGTTCAGCCCAGGACTTACTTTCTTGCCGTGTCACTGGCTCGTACGACAGGATGGTGTCCTCTTGTCCTTCTGCAACAGAGCCAGGGGAAGGTGGGTGAGCACTTGCAGCAGCTCTCCAGCCCCTCTGAAGCTGTGAGGAGCTGGCTCCTGCACCTTCAGCCTCCCACAGCTCTAGGGACACTCCAGGCTGTCCCCATCACTCCACCCACGGATGTGAAGCATGACGGGCATGCAGTTACGAGCCCTTGAGCCACTTCAATTATTCATGTCCCAGCTCTGGGTCAAGCCTCCTCTCTCCCTCCCCCACTGCCGCAGGCTCACAGCCCATTGGGACATAGTGTCCTCCCTGCAGGTATGTAGAGGACTTTCTGGGGACAAAGGGAGCATCTATTGCAGCTGGATCTCATGGCCTTGTACAGGCTTAGGCTCCAGGAGCCATCTATGCTACAGGCCTGGCCTCTGGCCATTGCTTCCTGTAGCAGGCACTGAGGATGGGGGATCATCATGGATTGGGAATCCACCACCCTGCCTTGGAGCAGAGTCCTGTAGCCAGGAGAGAGCAGTGAAGCAGGCAGGTTCACTCCTACTCCCCAGCCCCTGCTCTCCCTGGCTCCGAGGAGGGAGCTGGCCGCAGCATCTCAGTGTCACCAGCAGGAAGGACCAGCCTCCGAACAGAACCACCACTGGGACAAGACAAGATGGAAGTGCCCAAACATGCACATTCATACAGGGACACACACACGTACATGGGGCGGGAGAGCAGGTGGACACACACTTACTGGAACTGCTCTCGCTGTCACTGGTGTTTGATGTCACGCCCTCTGCAAAGCAACCAGAGAGATCCCCTTGAGAAGGAGCATGGGCGGGAGGCACGGGGGCACCCTGGCTGTCACCCAGCACTACTGACCGAGGGCAGGACAGCACCAGCCTCCCGAAAAACCTGCAGCCCAGCACCCACTGGGACGAGTCTGTGCCACATGGGCAAGGGCGGCATCTTTCACCCTTTGCTGGGAACTCAGGGACATGCAGGGGGATGCTTCCAGGAGAAGACAGGGAGGCCAGGAGGGCCTGCCTGGCAGATGTGAAGGCACTGAGCTTCCCAGGCCGAGAGAAGGTGAAGTGCACAGGGAGGAGAAGGTTGGCAGGGGAGCAGGTGCAGCATGCACACAGCGGGCAGGGGAGAGCACGGCTGTGCTGGCACAGGGATGGGGAGCCTACCTCTGGGGACAGGGCTGGGACGCACAGAGACAAGACACTGACAGAATGGGACAGAGTTTGGGGCTTTGCTTGCTCAGGCTGATCCTAGTGCTGCGACCACCCCTCAGAGGCTTGCTGGCCGCTGCCTGCCCCAGTCAGGCTCTGCACTGGTTGGGGGGTGCGGATCTTGGCAGGGAACTCATGCCCCAGCTGAGAAGACCACGGGGCTGCTGTCATTATTCTGCAGTTCTGCATAAGTGGTAACCCAGAGAAAGGTGGGACCACCTCAAAATGTTGTCACCCACCCCATTCAGAGCAGGCCCATCAAGGCCACTTCCCACCCACACGGGCAGTGGCTCCAGGTGCTAAAGCAACAACCAACCCAGATAGGAGCAGGAAGAAGAGGATGAGGAGGTGCAGCAGGCACTTAGGGCATGGCCAACACCCCCACACAAGCTCCCCCATCCCATGTGCAGCAGCAGCACCTCGAGCCCCGCAGGCTCCAGCAGCACAGGGGGGTCCCCCACAGTGGAGCAGCGCCCGGGGCTCCTCCTGCCCCGCACCCAGGGAAGCACAGCTGCCCCGGCCAGAACCCAGCCATCCCCCGGCACCGCCAGCCACAGAAACAGAACAATGCACATCGGAATTCAACTTACTCAGGTTCTTTGCTCCATAATAATCGTCACTTAACCCAGGGAAGTCCTGATTTCACAGACAGCAAGAAGAGGGAGAGGGGGAGAGAAGACAGTGCAGGAAAGGGGAGTCAGAGGGATGGGGGAGACAGAGCCAGACCAGCATTAGTGACAGGAGTGCAGAACGGCCCAGAGCTGCAACTGCAAGTGAGGTTAAATATTTTCAGAGCTGACACCATCAGCCTACTGCCAACATCTTGCCTTGTGTGGCTGGACCCCCTCTTCCCCCCAAGCTCATCCTCTCTGCAAAGAGCCCCCTGGACACCCTGGGTCTGGGGAGGGCAGGGCAGCTACAGCAGCATTGGCTGGCACCAAGCAGTTGCAGCCCTGAGCTGCTGGCACAGGGGCTGAAGTGTTTCTCCTTGTGGAGTGTGCTGGCAGGGCATAGCGGCTCTGTGCCTCCCCGGCACACAATGGCCACTCTGGAGCCAGGCACAGCACACAGTTCTATAACATGTGGCAGGAGGATGCATTTTTCCCCACCTGTGTGTGTCAGCTGCCCCACACCACAATGCTTGCACAGGTTGTGGAAATGTGAGGCAGAGACCCCCCCACTACTGCAAGCTGGGATGGACATTGGCAGAGCACAGGGAGGGAGCTGGCTGTATGCTGTGACACAGGCAGGTAGAGAGAGTGGCCTGTCACATCCTCATGCTGTGTCATCTCACTACAGGGCAGCCAAAAGTAAGCCCCCAGCTTCAGCATGGATCTCACTGGAGCCCAGACATGTCCAGGCACTACTAGAGACAGGCAGACACACAGACAACCTTCAGCACAGGCCAGAGGCTCGTGCTGTCCGCTAAAATTACCAGAAGCTGGCAGCAGCCTGTCATGGGCAGCAGAGGGATGCAGGGAGCCCTTGGAGCAGCCCAGCAGCATCCTCCTGCCTCTGTATGACACCCAAGACAGCCCCAAAGGGAGGGGATGTGTTTGCTGTGCTGGCACTGAGGCAGACACAGCCCTGCCTTGTCCACCACCCCTTTCCAGAGGTGTGGGCACTGCCAGCCTGGATGCTTGCCTACGGAGTGGATGCAGTTCACTGCTTGGATGAGGGGCTGGGTTTGGTGAGCAGCTCCAGTGCTACCCACATCAGGATTCAGGGCAATGAGATAAATGCCCTGCCTTTACTGGGAGTCACAGGGTGGTGAGAGCTGTGAACCCACAACATCTGTAGCCAGCTACCAAAGATGTGCCTCAGTCGTAAGTGGGCAGCAGGGTCGTGGCTTCCCTGTGTCCACAGGGCTTAATCCGCTGGCAGGGCTCTCCAGTGGGAATGTGAAGCTGCAAGTCACTTCTAGGGAAGATGGAGCTGGGACCTCCCCAGGCTCTGAGCCCTCAGAGGGACAGGAGAAGCTCTGCAGGAGGCAGCCAGCCCCTCACTTGGAAGGAAGGAGGCAGAGGGAGGAAGCAGAGCCTGCAGCAAAGGCGGGACAGCAGGGCAAGGCAGAGCAGGGAGTTGGGTGGGTGTGAAGTTGGATGAAAAGATGAAGACATTGAACATGAAAGAAAGGAAGAGAGTGCCAGACTGCAGCTGTTGCTTTCATTTCAAGCTCCAGTTTTTCCCTAGCTGCTGGCACAACTCTGGAGCACAGACCTGAATACAGGCAGGTGCCAGGACCCCTGGCTATGGAAATGTGCTGAATCTCTTCCCTCAGGGCAGGGAACCTGAGGGGTACAGGTTTGCCCTCTCTGGCCAGCTGCTACTTACGTTCCTGTCCGCTGCTCTCCTGGGCCAGGTTCTCTTTGCTCTTGTAAAATGGAAACTTTCGAGAGAGGCGAAAACTCTTTTTACGTTTCGTTTTGATCGACTGAAGAACATGGAGATGGAAGGGAGGACAGAAAAAACAATGGTGTTTAACACACGTGGGGAAAATTAAAATGGAGAGACAATGAGGAGCTGTGTCAGGGCAGTCACCCTCAAATGAAATCATGGAGATTACATGAGAACTGTAATGCAGGAAAAAAATTAAGCATGGAGAAAAACATGTGGTTGGGATGCTGGGAAGCTGATGGGGCAGTCAGCAGCTCTGCAGGGGTAGCCAGGCTGTTCCTCCTTGCTTGTTGGCATGTTAGGCACTGCTCCTGAGGTATGAGGGCAGCTACCGTCACCAGTTGCCTGCAGGCAGCTCCAAGCCATGGGCTCTGCCACCCCATCACTCCAAACATGGGTCCTTCCCCAGTACTTTCACACCATCCTGGGCTCCTCTGCTCAATCACTGCATATTCACGGAGGGTTTGTGCCAAGCAGATGTGGGCCTGGGGGAGGTCCAGTCACACAGCTCTTTGCGTTGGGATTGTTGAGCTGCCCCAAGAGAAGCATTTGCTGCTGGGACTCATCCTCCTAGTTACCAGTTCCAGGTGCCCCACTGAGCCCCAGATCAGCACTTACCCTGTTAGACTCAATCATGCCAGTCCTGGCGTGGAACTTCACTGTTTTCAACCGTGCTCTCTCCTTCTTTTCCACCCTGGTCAGGAGAGAAAGAGTCACTAGCACCATCCATGTGCTGTCCACGCTGCCCACATGGCTCCTCAGGCAGCTCCAGTGGTGGTGGCCCCATTGGCAAATGGAAGCTCCTTCCCAGGGAGGCTCAGATGTGGAACTGCCTGCCCAGGGCCTAGCCCAGGCCAGTGTCTGCAGGAGCAGGAGAGGAGCCAAGCCAGCCTTCCCAACAAGGAAACAGACTCAAGGTTGGCTTTGCTAACCTGAAGGCAGGAGCAGCCATCTCCTGTGCTCTCCGTGACTTCCCACCTCACAGACCTGGCTACAGAGCTGGGCAGCTTGACAGAGGACACAAGGAGCAGCCCTTGCTGCTGTGACTCTGCTCTCACATGGAGACCAAGACTGGCTAACACCAACTTCCCATCTCCACAGGGACCACAGAGGGGGCTGAGCACTCCCTTCCTCACCTGGAGTCTCACCCAGCTTTGGAGAATATCTGCCTAGGGAGACTTGCACATAGACCCAGCTTGCAACCAAGGTGCCCTTGGCAGGTAGGCTGGGGAAACAAGGAGATCCTAGCCTGAGCCTGAGCAGAGCCCTGAGGGCTGCAGCGCTTGCAGAGCTCAGGGAAATCCTGGGGTCACCAAGTGTGACAGCTCCTGCTGATGGACACTCACCTCTTCTTGCTGGGGATGACCCCAATCTGCTCGCTCTCGCCGTGGGGTGTGACGAGCCTGGCTTGCCACCACTCGTCATCAGAGGCATTGATGACGTGCAGGATATCCCCGTAGGAGAAGCTGAGCCCCTGGCTGGGCAAGCAACTGTCCCGGGTCCGGTCATAGTCAAACAGGGCTCTGTGGAGGAGCAGAGAGGAGCAATGCCTTCTCTGAGCATGGCCAGGCAGTGAGGGCAGCAGCACTGCCAACCTCCTGGGGCACTGTCACCTTCACACCTTAAAAAGTTTAAATCCAACCCCTGCCAAGGTGGGCAGTGCTGCCAGCCACCAGCACATCCCTTGGCTGGAAGGCTCAGCACAAGCCCTGAAGAGTGTAATGTAGCAACACCCATGCTGGACTGAGAGAACTCACTACTGAGCTCAGCTGCAGGATGCAGACAAGCCATAGATGCACTGGACGTGTCTGTGATTAGTGAGCAGGCCAGGCCCACTGCAGCAGCCTGCAGGAGGGCTGCTCCCCACCATCCCTCTGTGGCTGCGGGGCCAAGGAATGGGATGGGGAACATCAGATCCCACTGCTGGTGGGTGGTTGCACAGGCAGAGACCACCAGACCACCAAGGCATTGAGCACAGCCTTTATTTACATACAGAGGCTGTGAATGATGAATGCATCTCAGGAGTATATATATCTGCTCCCACAACTGATCCTTTTTACACCCCTAAACACCTCCTGTGAGAACAGTCTATTTAGTTTAAAATTATTTTCAAAACCAAACTAACCAGCTATAGAAAAGATCTGGTTTTTTTACTAGAGGAGCACTAATACTTTTCCCACACATGTACAGGATACACAGCACTGCAGCCTGTACCCATCAGCTGCTCTCAGTGGCTTCACCTGCAACTCATTCTACTGATGTCAGATCACACAAACTGTGTCTGCTTTGATGCATCAGCTTGAAAAAAGACAAAGAAAGGGAAGAGTCACTAAAAGTACTGGCAGCACAACCTCTGTATTTGCTCCTGGGACACTGGCCCCACTGGCCCCCAGCCCAGCATGAGCCCAGGCACTGCAAACACTGGCTTGCTGCTGGTTTAATCCTGGCCCTAATAAAACTTCAAGCAGGAAGGTTCCACTGCAGGGACTCCAAAAGGGGTCTAAAAGCACACTGTAAGTGGAAGGGCTGAGGAATCATGTGGCATGTCCCTGTGGAGCAGCAGAGCTTGCATGGCACTTCTGCCAGGGTAGTGCTGGGCTATGAAACCTTTCAGGGCACCTGAGGCTGGGTCTTGAATGGGAAGAAAAAGGGCTGCCCCATGGGGAGAGCTCTTTGGGACAAGACCAAAACTCCCCTATGCATCCAGGCTTGCTCAGGGCTGGGGCAGCTCTTGTGCTCGTTCCCTCCACAGGGCAGTGTGGCTGGAGCTGGCAGCAGAGCACCAACGGGTGCTTTGGCCAGAGGTAATCAAGCCTTGCAGGCAGCTCCAGACCAAAAGATAAGGCTGCATGTCGGCTGACAGGCCGCTGTGAGGTCAGTGCTGCTGGCCAAGGCCCTGGGGAACTGGTCAGGCCGGTTCCCACAGCCAGGCAGGCTGTGAGAAGCCCTGCCCACTCCACGCACTCTGCCCTGCAGAGCAGCGCAGGGCCCATGCTCCTCCGGCAGCAGCCACCAGCATCCCAGGACAGGCCCAGCGAGATCTCTGCATGAGCAGGACACCTGTGAAGGCAGTACATGGGGCACTGACTACCCCAAGGCACGATGCTCCAGGAGACCAGCCCCTGGCTGTGCTGGCATGCAGGACACACCATGGCTTGGTTCTCCTCTGGGTGCACAGGGTCAGATGGCAGCTCAGCTCTGTCCCCAGGCCAGCTCACAGCACTCACAGCCAGGAGAGCAGATGGTTTGGCTGGAGGGCAGGGAAGCAGTACCAAGGACTCCCATGGCTTCCTCCTGGTGCCCAGGCACAATGCCTGCCTGACCTCCATCCCCACCCGGCACAGCCCCAGTGCTGGCAGACTTTGCCCTGCGGCAGTGCAGGGAGGTGACAGGCAGGACGTGAACCTGCCTTTGCTGCACGAAACTCCAGCTCCTCCAAGTTGGCTCCAGCACCCCCAAATCAGCTCCAGCAGGCACTTGGGTGCCCAGCTCCAGCCCTTCAACAGCACACAGGATGCAATGCAGCCGCACAGGGCTGACTCAAGCAGTTGGGTAGCGAGTCCTGTAATTGATGTCCTGTCCACAGCGCAGCAGCTCAGCTGGTTTCGGGTAAACTGTGCTTGAAACTACCCCGCCCAGAAGGGCTGGGGCAGCCTGGGCACCCAGCAGTTCTTTCAAGCATGTTTGCAGGGTGTGTGTTGAGCAGAGTGCTGTGAAAAAGCACTGGGAAAAAGCTCTCCCCTGGGATCACCCTCTCATCGAGGCACAGCCCAGCTCCACCTGGGTATGTGTGAGGGGGACACAGTGCGGAGGAGGCCTCCAAAGCCCCATGGGAGGATGCACCAAGAATTAAGAAATGCTAGGAGTAGCGTGGAGGCAACAGGGAGCTCTCTGGTTCAGAGGGATACTTTGATACATGAGCACCTTTCCAGGCAGAGAATGGGCTCAACTCAAGCTGGACCCAGCCTAGACCCTCCTCCACACATGAGGGTGTCCACAGGACAGCAGGGGAGTGAGGGCAGGACTAACAAGATGATGTTTATTCAACACTGCACCCAGCTTGTTGCACACCCCTAGGAAGCCCTGAGATGCTAAATTGTGCAAGATGCCTGCAGAGACTTGTGGGAAGGTGTGAACTGCAGGAGCCCAGAGCTGCAGCTCTTCCCTCCTCCCATGCGGGCTTGCAACATTTCCATCAGGCCTGAAGTCCCTCTGCATGGAGCAGCCATGCAGTGAGAGATGCAGGCTGAGGCTCATGCAGCCTCGGCCCTTGCCATCCTCCTCACAGGGAAGGAGAAGTATCCCTTGCTCCTGCCAGCCTCACGTGCAACAGGCTGTGGAGGGTGAGGATTTACAGGATTATTTTAATTTCCAAGTTAAAATTACCCATTAGCTCTCATCCCACTGGTGCTGTGGCAGGCAGGAGGTGAAAGGAGGCAGGCAGGGGTTGTCCTGTCCACACAGGGCTTGCAGCAGTTTGAGCTGCATGGCTGTTTAACCCATGCTTGCCCGTCCTGCACCTGGCTCCAGACCAAAAGTGCTTTGAGGGCTCAGAGCAATAATCCTCCTAAGAGCTCATCTCTCATCCAGCCAGATCCTGCCACAGGAACAGCAGGAGGAGACAAGGAGAAGCCTGTTAGCTGGTTCAAGGAGAGTGCCCGGAAAGCTGCCACAAGCCGCCTGCGGCAGAAGCAGGGCTGGATGCCCACCATTTCCCTGTGTTCCAGTGGTCCTCAGTGTGTTGGGCTGGCCAGCAGCCACCCAGGCTCTGTAAAGACCATTGCCTCCCAAACTGGAGAAGTCCATGGGAGAGGCATTCAAGCACCTAGCCTTGACAAGCCAGGGCAAAAGCCCTGCTCTCCCTGCTGCACCCTCCAGGCTGTGTGATGCATCCACAGCCCTGCCCGGGCCCCCGCCACACCATCCTCAGAGGCACCACACAGCCCAGGCTGAACCGCAACCCCCCCCCCGCACCCCATGCCGTGGGGATGTGCCCATCCCGGCCGCCTGCCGGGAGCAGCGGAGCCTTACCGGACATAGAGCGATCTCTTCTCGCTTGTCCGGAGCGAGCCGGAGCCAGAGCTCATGCTGCTGTTCATCATCTGCTCCCGCAGGTCGTGGATCTTGGACTCAAAGCGGCTGTACTCTGTGGGGACAGAGCTGGTCAGTGCAGGCACAGCTGCCCCCGGGCTGATCCCCACGCCCAGCCAGGCCTGTCCACGAGGCACCTCGCCCACGAGCCTGTCTGTCCCCACACACAAGGGAGGGCAAAGATAAAGGGGTTGCAGAACTCTGCAGGAGTCCAGCTAGGCCTCCAGAGTAGGCAGGGTTCCAGCTGCTCCCAACCCCACCACAACTTCCCAACAACAGCCCAGGCAAGGGCTGCTGTGACCTCCACTGCTGCTGAGCTGCAGCTCCACGAGGGAATGGCTGGGCAAGACTTGGCAAGCTGCTGACCTACAGAGCAATTCAGAACATGCAGAGAGAACGAGAGCCCCTCCAGGAGACCCCTGCCCACCAGCTGGAGCAGTGAGACATGACCACAGCCATTGGGGGAGCCCCCAGCTGCTGCTTTGCTGGCAGCAAAGACATCCTCAGCGGGAATGGGGAAAGGGAGGCAAAACACAAAGTCCCTGCCCTTGGAAGAGGAGCAGGGAGGAGGAATTCACCTTTTGCTTCTACATTCCAGCAGCAGAGATGTGCAGGAAGAGCTGGGGAACCCTCCAGAAGACACCAGCACCTTCCTGCCAGGCAGCTGGGCAGGAGCAGCCGCCACCCCAGCACCTGCTGCTGCGCCAGCCCGACCTTCAGCCGGGTGTAAAGGTCAGGCTGACACGCAGAGGGTGGAGGCACCAGGCCTCCCTAGCCAGGGCTGAATGAGGAAAGTGCAACTGTGGCTCCAGGAAAGCTGCTGGCACTGCCACAGCCCACAATGCCAGATCTCACCTCATACCCTTGATTTTGTCCCTTGGGCACATCCTGCAGTTACAGGTGAGAGAGGATAAGGCTCACCTGTGCTGTAAGACTTGCCTAGAAAGTCTTATCCACAACAAGTGGACAAGAGTCAGTGTTTTAGACGTGGCTTGGGTTTCAATTCTGGGACGGGGAGCACAGCAGCTGAGCTGTGGAGGCAAGTGCTCACTGCAGAGCAGAGCCACAGCTGTCCTGTGCTTGTGGAGCCACATCACATGGCAGGAGAAGCAACACTGCTCAGAAATGCTCTGTGGGCTTTGTTTGGGAGCCAGTCTCCCTCCCATGGACTGTCAGTGCAGATAAAAACAGGATTGGGGTATGGGACGATGCAGCTGCCTCTCAGCATTTGCTGCCCTACAGCCTGGGTATCCCCCAGCTACACCCAGTTGCCAAAGATACATTTTTACTTAAACGACTGGAAAAAAAAGGCAATACACACAAAAACTGCCAAGTGACACAGAGAAACTCCATGCTAAGCCCCTTCTCCTGCCATGCAACACCCAGAGTTGCTGCAACACCACGCAGGGTCAGTTGCTTAACGTGGAGACCATGAGAACCCCTGACTGCCCCATGCCAAGGGCCACCCACTACCTCACCTGCCTTCCTGCTGGCAGAGGGAAACACAGGTGCACCAAGGCATGGACAATGCTAATTTTACAAGAAAACTGAATTCTGCCACCAAAGCAGCACCAGGGTTTTACAGAGCTCTCAGCAGGGGGAAGTGAGCTTCATCCCACTGCACATCTCTTGCCCCACACAACTCATTCTGCCCTGGAATACCCATAAGCTCTTGAAATCTAGAGAAGCATCTCTCAGAAGCAGGTACAGCTTCTTCTTAAACGTTCTTTGGTACTGAAGGGCTGTTTCATCCAAAAAGCACCACTAGAACCCTTGTTTCCAGCCAGGTCATTGCAAACCCTGCTGGGGGCACAGATTCCCTGCACACCCCACACAGAGGGGACCACTGCTCCTGCTACATAGACTCACATTCCTCCCACAACACTCTTCTCCACAAATGTGGAGGATACACTGCCTGGGATTGGACAGCAAACATAGCACAGGAGGAGATTTCTCCACCCCTAGCATCAGGTGCTGGAAGGGCAACTTGTGGGTGCCACTGCCCTGCCAGAAATGGCATATGCATCCCCCTGCTTTGCAGCCCAAGGGCAAAGTTCTCAAATGCCCCCATTTCAGCTGGGGCACTCCATGGAAAGGGACTTCCCTAGTTTTGCTGGAGTGGCCACACTGCTTGGAAGGGTAGGAGAAACCCACTGACATGACAAGAAGCACAAACCAGGCTGGCTGTGGCAAACTGAAGGACACAGGGGCTGCTGTGGCTTTAACCCCCAGAAAGCAAACAGTCCTGCCCTAGGAAGGGTCTTCCAAGGAGCCACCAACACACATTTGCTCCAGCTGTGGGAAGGCACAGAGTGGAGGAGCAGCCAGCCCCAAAGCAAACCCACTGCCTCTCTCCCAGAGCAGAGGAGGCAAGGTTACCCCAGGACTGAGCACAGGGTACTCCCAGGTGCCACAGGCACCCTTTTAACTGCACATTAGAACAGTCTGAGACAATTACCAGCAGATCATCCCCAGCAAGGAGTGCTCCTGCCTTTGCTCCCTAACTTAGGGCCACCTTGGCTCTGCACCTTGACCCTCATAAGATCTCCTGTGCAGCTGACACCCTCCCAGGAAGCTTGCCCAGGATGCAGCAAGGAGGTGAGCCAGGGCTGATCCCCACAGTGTTCAACACGTTCAGGACATGTTTATCAAGACTGAAAAGTATGTAACAGGTGAGCCGGCACCTCTTGCTGTGAGTGCCATCGCGGCGCTGCGCCGTGTGCCAGGATGTTTGCTCTTCTCACTCAGCAGCTCGATAAAAACACCACTGTACCCTCCCACTGCTTCTCCCTTTCCAGGGTGTGGGTGTTCCTAGAGCTGGGCCTGATTCTGTCCCCTGGGGCGAGCTCCATGCTGGGAATGGAATCCCTGAGTGTGCGCACGCTGTAGACCACTATCAACAAGCAGGGATCACCTGCCTGCCCCAGGGATGCCAGAACCAGCACATGTGTGTGACACACCAGCAAACACGCCCAGCAAAGCCAACAAAGCCATGGGTCTGCATCTGGGCACCAGGACACAGCACAAAGGAGAAGGCGTTGGCAGAGATGGGAGCTATGCTGGAAACTCAACTCCTGAGTACACATAAAGCCCTGTATCCAGACACTCCTGCCCGGGCCATCAGCAGGGCCCAGAAATGCCCTGTCACAGCTTTCAGCCCAGCCACTTGCAAAAACTACTGACAGCTTCAGCCCAGCATTTTAGCACCCTGACCCCAGACACCTTCCCTCTGCACAGACATTTCCCTCCACAGGCATAGGAAAGCAGAAGAAAGCACAGCCATAGGGAAAGCTCAGAAGCTTTTATGACTCTTTGCACAGCCCTGGAACTTCCCTTTGAACAGACTGGCTCAGAGAAAGGCCATAATGTGACTTTTTGTATTTTCAGGTGGGGAATGTCAAAGCTTTGTTGCATGAGGTGTGAGGAGGTGGAATTGCCAAATCCAAGTGCTGGTGACAGCAGCAGGCAAAGGTCAGGGGAAGAAGTGCTCAGAGGGAATGGATCTCAAAAAAATTCCAAGGAACCCCCCTCCTCCCCCTGAGGCAGCAGTGGTCAAAGGTGCTGGTGCTAAGAAGAAAGGCAGGACAGCAGCTCCTCTTTCTAACCTTTCTTGGTCTGGTCTTTGCTTTTTACCTCCTAGCATCTGGTAGGACAAAACAGGGAGGGCCCCTCATCCCCTGAGATCTGCACAAGCAGCCTCTCTGCCCCCATGGAGCCCCAGCAAGGCCAGACACAGAGCAAGCTGTGCTCATTCAGCACCCCAAGGCAAGCCCTGCCCATGCTCAGGTACGAGAGACAGGTGCCATCCACCGCCTCTGCTAGCCGGAAGAACTTCTCAAATCCCCTTTCCACCAGCATCTCCTCCTTCAGCCATCCTACAATCCAGCTCTCCTGCTCCTTCCACACGACAAACATAGAAAAGACAAACATTTGAGAGTACATGGCCCATTGAGTGGGTCCAGCCTCACCCACACTGGGGGCTCACACCAGAGAGATCTTTCCCCTTGACTCCCAGCCCTTCAAGCCTCTGTAGCACTGAGGGCAATTTCCAGGATACAACAGCCTGTACTCCACAGCCACAATGCTGCCTCCCGGGATGGTTGCAGCTCCTGTGCTGGGTGCTGCTGTCCACACGTGCCAGGAACCATCACAGACATGGTAAATCACCAGCTACAACACATTGACATTTCCGCCTTGGTCTAAGGGGGTTTCAAAACATCTTGTCCAGTTTGACATTTAAGAGCCACTCTTAGTTGGTGTCTTTGCCAAATCTCAAGTGGCAAAGGGAGCCAGAAATACAAGAACATTAAGCGCTTCCTGGAAAGAAAGAAAAAAAAAGCCAAAACAAACAAACCCCACACCCACAGCACAGCCCTGAGCAGCACCAATGACTCGGTGCCCCAATGGCCTCTGCCACAGGATGGAGGAATAGTGGAGACCGGGACCAGCAGGACATTGCCCAGCAACGCCACAGAGGGACAAGACGAAGGACATGCTTAGGGTGGGACATCGGCCTCCTTGGAGAGGACAAGAACAGCTGGTGGAGAAAGCCAGTGGGCCCAGGAGGGACACCTTTTCCAGTGGACTGGAATCCAAGCTGCATCCAAGCACGTGCACGGTGCAGCTCTGGGCACAGCCCCGGGATCAGCCGCGGCCCCTCGCTGGCTGGCGGGGCACCCTCCCAGCGCTCGCCCTCCCAGCCCACGGGCCACGCTCCAGCGCTACCGCCCAGGGAAGCTTTCTGCGGGCAGCTGCCCGCTCCCTTCCCGCTACCCCTGGCGGGACCACCAGCCCCCGCCGCTGCCGAGGAAATCGTAACCCAGCGATAAAGAAAGGCTCGGGGTGGTGCCGCAGGTGGGATGCTCAGAGGTGGGAACGAGCCCAAACTCCGCAGCGACGCCCCGGTTCCGGCCCCGCCCGCACCGTGGTCGCCCTGCAGGACCCCTGAGCTCTCCCAACCACGGGGTCTCTCCAGCAAGGCCCGTGGGACCCCACGGAGCCGGGCCTCGCGGCGACGCCCTCCGGCAAGCAGAGCTCTTCCCCCTCACCCGAAGATGACCCCGTCCCGTCGAGCCCCG